TGAGGTTCACTAAGGTAGTAAAGACTAAGAAGCCAGTGACCACCCCCCTCAAGGTCAGAAGCATCAGGCAGTGTAACACATTCTATAAGCCACTCCTGACTGTAAAGTAGTCAGTCACCTGGGGAGGTTTCAGAAAACATCAGTACAAGCCATCGAGCAAAAAACATCACAATTTCTGGGGGTGCAGACTGGGCATATTTATTTTTAGAAGCTCCTCGGAGGTTCTAGCTCCAGCCAGGGTTGAGTCACAACCCTTAGTCACCTGCCAGGATAAAAATGGACATCTCTGGCCTGAGCCCTGGAATTCCTAATTCAACTAAGCCCAGGTTTTTGCATATTTAATCAGCTCCTGGGTGATTCTTAATGTCACGGAAGTTTAAGGACCAATGCATTTAGAAAAGGTCCATGCAACATGATGAACAGTATTTAAACTACTGGTTTAAGACACCTCACTGAATGTCCCAATTCTTTCAACTTCCATGTGACTCTGGCATGGCCCTGGATTCTCTGAGCCTCAGTTTTCTTTTCTGAAGGAGGAGAATTAATATGCACCCTGCCAATTTCACCAAGCTGCTTCGGGGATCATAGAAGATGATATGTGTATATCACAGCTTTGCCAGTTAAAAGCGACCATACTAAATAGAGGATAACCTTATTCTCATCAGAATAGTATGTCTTTTCATGTGAGATAAAAAGAACATATCACCCCTACTGTAACTACTTCAGGTAAAATTAGCCATTATTAAACATTATGTTTTAGTTTGTGATTAGCATGGCTTAACAGAACACTATATGTAAGTTCCATTCTTAAAGCCTAAGGGGTTTTGCCACTGATTTCCTTGTAGCTATAAATGAATGAGTCTGCTGCTATTTTGTTTATCTCAAGAAATTTGGAAGACAGCTACCTGGCCAACCAACTGGAAGAGATCCATATTTATGCCTATTCCCAAGAAAGGTGATTCAACAGAATGTGGAAATTATTGAACAATATCATTAATATTACACGCAAGTAAAATTTT